GTTGTTTTTTGTGTGAAAGAAGGGCTTTTGTGTATTCACCCATGGACTCATATACATTAGCGATGTTGTCGTAAGCTCGAGCCAAGTTCGCATGATTCGGAGGAAGAGCTATTTTCCGAATTTCAAGTAATCGTTCATACGCTGAAAGTGCTTTCGAGTATTCGCCTATCTTGTGATACACAACACCGATATTGTTGTAGGAAGTCGCCAAGTCTAAGTGAGTTGAAGGGAGAGCTTGTTTCCGAATTTCAAGCGAGTGTTCACACGATGAAAGAGCTTTCGAATAATTCCCCATACGATGATGCACATTTCCAATTCTATCATAGAAGTCAGCTAAATCCGGTGAATTCGGTGGGAGAACTATTTTCTTAATTTCAAACGATCGTTCGAACGCTGAAAGGGCTTTCGTATATTCGCCCATCATGGTGTATATACAGCCGATGTTGTTGTAGGAAGTCGCCAAACTTGGATGAGTTGGAGAGAGAGCTTGCTTCTGAATTTCAAGCGATTGTTCACTTGATGAAAGAGCTTTCGAATAATCACCCATGCGATGATACACATTTCCAATTCTGCTATAGAAGTCAGCTAAATCCGGAGAATTCGGGGGGAGAACTATTTTACCGATTTCAAGGGATCGCTCAGAAAACGGAAGGGCTTTCGTGTATTCATCTGTACACAGGTACAAATCGGCCGCTTTGTTGTAAATGAATGCGAGATTCAAGCTATTCGGAGGGGGTGCTATTGCCCATATTTGAAAAGCTCGTTCATACGATACAATGGCTTTTGAGTACTCGCCAATGTCTTGATATACATAACCTATATTGCAGTGTATAGCTGCCAAGTCTGGGTGATTTTGTGTTAAAACTTGTTGCCGCATTTTTAGTGATCGTTCATACGCTGAAAGGGATTTTGCGTATTCGCCCATGTTTTGATATACAAAGCCGATATTATTATAGGAATTAGCTAATTCTGGATGGTTTGGTGGGAGAGCCACTTCCTGGATTCGAACTGCTTTTTCAAGCATTGAAAGAGCTTTGGAGTACTTGCCAATTTTATTGTACAGCAAACCAAAGTTGTTAGTGAATTGAGCGATTTTAGGATGATTTGGAGAGAGAGTCGTTTCCACTATTTCAAGCGCTTCTTCATTTGAGGAAATGGCTTTCGCATAGTCGCCCATGCACTCATACACTGAAGCGAGACTGTTGTAGGAAGCAGCTAAGTCGGGATGATTTGAAGGAAGTGCTATTTTCCGGATTTCAAGTGCTTGCTCGTGTAATGCAAGGGCTTTCGAGTACTCGCCTATGTTGCGATACACGTTACCGATGTTATGGTAGTATGTAGCGAAGTCGGGATGATTCGGTGACAGCGTTTTCTTCTTGATGTCTAGATCTTTTTCGAAATACTCAATTGCTCTGGCGTGATCACCGGTAGCTTTATATACCTTTCCCAGTTGATTGTAACACTCTGACATGCCTGCAGAAAGTGTCATTTTCCGTAGCAGTGTCTGATACAGATGTTCTGCTTGTTCGAACTGTCCTACTTCGTAAAGTATATCAGCCAATCGAAACCATCCGGTTGTCCTACTAAAATCTCTGCGTAATTCTGCCGTCAACCTGCTGAAGGTATCGTCTTGATCATCCACAAGGGTGAGCTCGACTTCGTAGAGCCGATCAGCGTCAGGAAGCAAGTTGATATTGCCAATGCGAAAGATAGTATGTGTTGTGAATAATATTTCTGCTTCAGATTTACCTAAAGCACCAACTTTGCTAACATCGGCATAGGAAACTTTTGATCTTTTGCATATTTCAGGATCGATCGTCATTACAAAGAGGATAGCAACAGAATCTATATTTTTTACAAGACTTCTGCGAGCAAACCGAAGAGAAACTTCCCGTTCTTCACTGGTAGATAAGAAATTATTAAAGGACATAAGTTCTCCCGTATTCTTCTTCATTTTATCAAAGACTTTGGTCTCTAAGCTTTGACCACGAAACAATGTGAAAAGCGCAATGTTTGCCTTTTCTGCTCTGGATCGTTGTTCGTGATAGAGTTCATTAATATGATTGTGTAGCTGACAGATAAAGAAGCCCATCTTCAGAATAATATCGGTGTCCATTTGTCGAAGACCCCGATTTACCATAGGATAAAGGAAAGTCTGCTTTGTATACCACCAAATGGGTGTGTGCTTGTCATATTCTCTTTCGAAAGTCTCAATATGACTTTCAATCGCACCACTTTGTTTGCGACAGTATGTAGCTAAAGATTTGACTGACTCCGATATATCATCTTCAGTTTGAAGTAGTGCCTCCTTTAGCAATTGTGTATAGGTGAATAATGGATCTAAACCACTAAAAGTGATCGGGATCATAGCTCGATCATACTGATCGCGTTCATGTTCGAGTGCTTCACAAAGAAGCTCAATCTTCGTATATACACCTTTGATCTTAGGATAACTTTGGGCCCACTGCTTCTGAACTTGTCTATTATCTCCGAATATATAAATTGAACACAACTGTAGCCATGGTTCAATTTCAGACACTAGTTGTTGTCCATAAGAGTCTGATACAATCATGAATACTTTCTCATCTTCAATATCACTGAGAAAATCAATACACTCGTCAGCATCCGTAAATATTTTGATGATCCGGACGATTCGCTGGAGCTCTTCTACTGACTTTTTATAATCCTTCTTCCTTTCTTCAAATCTCGTACTAAGCAGGATCAGTACAAAGTTGTCTATGATTCGGTTAGCACTTGTTTCCTGCATCACAGTGGCACTACTGCTACTGCTAACTGTTGTTTACTTACTTCTATAAGTAGCCGTGATATATTTTTTATGATAGTAGATGAATCCGTTACACGAAAAAAGTGGAATTTCGACTTTGTATCAACAAAATTTTGTCGTTACTTTATTCAATTTTATTTCTTGAAAATTTGTTATAAAATAACAATGACGAAGCACAATAAATGAAAAAAGGAGTGCCTGCGAAGAGTAAACAACTGCGCAGTCAATACAATCGCATCGGTATCGCTAGAGAACGAACAAATCACAGTCACTCATAATTGATTTCATGTGTTCTTGTTGTTAAAGGCTATTGTTTTCCAGTGCACCTTCTTCACAGAAATCACCAGAATCTGCTAGCAGAAAAGGTATCAAAACGCGAGAAAAAGTTGTGGATGTACGCTGCAGCGTGTGCGTAACGATGGTTACGGTGGGGATGTGGATGTGGGCATGGGCTCGGGATCGGTGTGAATGTAACTGCACCATTGATATTAATTTAGGAGCCCACGCCCACCTAGCACCAATAGCCACAGTCACATCCTCGCACTCAAGAAACAACTTGAGGATGTGGGTGTAGGTGTAGGCGTGGGTGTGGGTGTAGGTGTGGGTGCAGGTGTGGGTGCGGATGTGATAATATATTCTATGCAGTTATAGCCAAACCCACACTCACAAGTTGTATACCTTCTGTGCAGTCTTTCAGAGAGAAAAGTGTATTGAGAATGAATAAATGTTTCTCTGCTCACTGCACCTTCTTGTTTCTCTTCCAGCTTAAAAAATATACAGCTAGTTGATGATGCTCATTCATGTCCTCAAAGAAAATAATCCTAGACACTGAATTGCCAACAACGGAAAATTTTCAAGAAGTCGGCCATGGAAAAAGTCTGCTTGAATGCTGATTTTTTATACCTTTATAGAGAAAAGGCTGCATGCTTCCATGAAATTAAGACTAACGAAGTTCCACGTGATTTCCTTTTGTGTACTCAAAAAGTGAGTACACTCTAGTTTCAGTCAGTGTGACCGGCTGGCCGGTCGACCGTTTACACGATAACTTGTGAAGGAAGAGTGCGATTTGGATGAAATTTTGAACACAGTATCGTCTCAACAATGTCTCGGTCGCGTTCTAAGATGAGAGTGATCCGTAGAGCCATTGCTGAGTTATCACAAAAAAAGTAATTTTTCCCTATGCCTTTCTATGCGATTATTGACCTATCTCGGGTTTTGTAAAAACAAAATTTCCTCTCATTATCAAACAAAACGCCACGCTATTATATACCATTCGACAGAGAATTTCACGAGCTACAAAATGGTACATAAAACATTAAGAAACAAGATAGCTAACGAGGGAACCTTTTCAGATGGCCCCCACCAGTTTCAATGAATTTTGTCCGTAGATACTAGATAGTGCCCTAGTAAATACCCTAAAAGAATTTGGGTTCCTCGCTCTTCCTTCAAAAGTTATGAAGATTTTAATTTTGCCCATATATAGGGCATAATATACAATATAAAAAACTGTGTAATCTTATCAAATTACCGCGCAAAAGCCCGAAAACTATTTTCTTTCTCCAAGACGAAAACCCAATAATTAAAACAACTAAAACACTAAAATTGTCTATGAATATACCAACTATTAAACAATACTAGAAAATAGTTTTCTGTCTTTTGCATGATAATTTAATAAGATTACAGAGTTTTTGATATTGTATATTATGCTTTATATAGGGGCAAAATTAAAATCTTCATAACTTTTGAAGAAAGCGCTAGGGACCCAATTTCTTTTAGAGTACTTACTAGGACACTATGTAGTATCTACAGACAAAAGTTCACTGAAATCGGTGGGGGCATCTGAAAAGGTTCCCTTGTAAGTCACCTATTGCAAAGATACTTAAACGGAAATTGATTCTGTGTTTTTGCTTTTTGAAGTACACAGAACACTCGGATTTAAATTCGATGGGTGTGGGTGCAGGTGCGGATGCAAGTGAGGTCGTGGGTGTGGATGATAGAAAGCCACACGTGCCCAAATCCCACACCCCAGCTTATACCCACATCCATGGCTACATCTCCCGCAACCATACCCACATCCACATCCATAGCCACACTAACACCCAAACCTATACTCATGCTCCACACCCACACTCAGAATATGGCTTTCATTTCGAGAAAAGTGTACGCCAGCAAATATACCATTAAAAATACTACAGATGTTTCCTGTGTTCATTTGCTAGGTGCCATGACGTCTAGGTTCTACTTCAACAACTTGACAGTTTAGTTCTGTATCATAGTATGGGTCTGTCCGGATAAAAAATATGGCACTTCTTACAATCAAATACTCTGATTCCGTTGAAAATTTTGATATCCAGGAGACATCAGCACCGAATACGGGACCATAATAATTATCATGATTAAGAAAAATTTTTAATAGCAGTCCTTTACCAGACATAAATCCAAGAGCTACACGTGGATTCCACGATGTGCTTACAAATGTTCCATAACCAAAACGAGAACATGGATTACCCTGTGTCCCTATGGATACTTCATTGTTAAATGTTTCTGGATCAATTTCGATATCTTTTAGACCATGATAGACAATTTCTGGTTGAAATTCATCATCCGTTTGGCTTAGAATATAGATAGCCTCTTCTAATACTTTGCCAAAAATTGGCCATTTTTGTTCTTGAATGTTGAATGGGATAGATGCATGCTGAATTTCATCCCATCTTAAGTCCATATAAGCATCTGTACCGGTGTACAAAATAACAGACAGCATTTGTTCCCTCGATAGGGGAGATCCAATTTTTAGGTGCCTCGGATGCTTAAGTTTTTCATCAACGACTTCATAAAGCGACTTGTATGGTCCACTAGAGGGCGTCATAATGTGACCAAAGCCATTTTTTTCCAATTCATCGACAAGATCGTAATTGTTAACATTACGATTCCAATCGTGACAGGTTGCTAGTCCCAGAAGGGACCCCGTCAGAGCAGCGGATACAAACTTTTGTAATCCCAAATTTTCATGTTGTGTCAACCCTCTTCTACCGGGATGAAAATAAATCGAACAATGTCCTCTGTCGTCCAATCTATATCCATTTTGTTCGGCTAGACGTCTAAAAGCAAAACATTCCGTTCCATACGAGCAATCAACGGTGTAATGTCGAAATTCATCCATGTGTTGCAGATTCTCATTGGTATAAGTTTCAGCTTTTATTTCCAAATAGAATGAACATAATGTATCTTTTTCACAATGACGTGTCAGATCTATACCGTGGTTGAGTTCTGAAATTCCAACACTATCCACAACCGATGTCTGCTCAATGTGTGAGCGCACTAAAGCAGAAGATGAATGTAGAAAATATATTTTATTCATTACGTTTCTAATTAATGAAAAAGCAGTTCATATTCGTCCATTGACCTCTCTTCCGTTAGTCGAATCCTATAGTCTCGGAGATCAGAAATTCCATTAAGCTACTTATCTTGAAAGGCGAACATATTTCCATGTCTTTAGCTACAAACGCAGTAACTTGTTGACTCAAGACCCATATCATAGTGGAAAGAACTGAAGACTATGAATCGAGTACAAAAACAAATCGAAGATCCACTGGTTTTACTTAGTTTGACTCGATTCAACGTGAAACGATCCTAATCAATTAGAAGTTTACTGCACAGCGGCGGTGCGAGACATAGTTTGCATCTCAAACACATACGCCTGCCAATCCATACTCACCCGAAGACAAACACGGCGAAAAATCATGAGCTCAGCGTTGCTTAACTCGAAATTCCGAGCTCGTTTTCAACCGTCCATATATTACTAATTAACGATAGGTCATGCTTTATAGGCTACAGTGCATACTAGGCTTGCGTCATTTGTGGCTATAGGCTATAAGCATGATGTTACTAAAAATTAGATCATTTCTTACTACTCATATTAAGTAGCCGCCACGGTTGAGCGGTAACATTGTTCGAAACGTATCCATAAGGTATTGTGCTTAAAACCTCAGTACCACCATTCATGGAATGGCAGTAGACGTGTCGCTACAGACCAAGGTGCCTAAAATGACGAATTTGTTAGCGTACTGATTCTGTCTTTAGTCCGTATATTAGGCAGAAGGGATGCGGATACTGCTGTCTATAAAAAGAAAAATACGAAAGAAACCGCTTGCATGGGAATCCAAACAATAATCACGGCTAGCCCCAACGGGAGATAAGCCTATAGGAGACTATTATCTTTTATTTTTACTCACATCAAGTAGAGCAAATTAAAGCGATGACTCCATTAATTAACACCCATTAGGACGAGTACTTGAACACTTAGCACCAATTCAGATGCCTCTAGTAAATAGCATGCCACTAACTCCATCAGTAATAAAGTGAATGCTATTTAATTAATCAGTAACTCTTTAAGAGCTACATCCCCCTATGCATGTACGACCTCAATCAAAGCGGCATTACTTCTAGAGCGGATAAAATATACACTGAAATTAATTCCTAACTACCCAGTGAAACATTTTCAGGATTTAATCAGATTTATTTTGCTACAAAACCAAAATAAAAATCGATTAAAATCTTCGATCATAATCGACTATAATTGAATCGAAACCTGATTCTATCGCGTATATATAGTGAAAATTTTCCCGATTAAAATCTGAATATTCTGCACCAAAATCATAATTATAATCGGATTGGTAATTTGGACTTTGCTGCAGAATAATCAGATTTTAATCGGAAAAATTTTCATTCCATAAGAAATACAATCAAGCTTTGATTCAATCATAGTCGATTAGAATTGAAGATTACAATCGATTTTAATTTTGATTTTGGGACAAAAAATTTTGATTAAATCCATCAACTTTTTCACTGCAAATGCATCTGTAATTGAGCTACTCATTCCGAGTTTGACTGTTCAGTCCAATTCTTTGCCCAGCCACATTTCCCAACAGGATATGCGTTTCTAAAACCGTGAAACAAATTTTCGTCCTTTTTCAACGTAGCCGATCAGATCGAACAACGCGAGTTTCTTACTATCGACATCAACGACTGTCAACGAACCTTGCACAGCAGACCTATAAGCACTTCGCTCTGCTGTAAGAAAAAAACAAAGTATAGGTTCCTCTTTATACTCATTAACCCACGCCAGAAACTAGAAGCCGACGGAGGCCGCTGCGATCGTGAAACATCTAATGTTGGGTTTGCTACATAGAAATGTCTTTACATGTTATCATTCACAGAAGTCATAGTTACTGGGCATTTTAGCAGCTGATGGAGGTCGCTATGATGTTGAAATATCCATTGTTGGATTTGCTACGTAGAAATGCCTTTATATTTGATCCTTCGACGAACTAATGCCTACCGGATACTTTAGCAGCTGATGGAGGTCGTTGCGATGTTGGAATATCCATTGTTGGGTTTGCTACGTAGAAATGCCTTTATATTTGATCCTTCGACGAACTAATGCCTACCGGATACTTTAGCAGCTGATGGAGGTCGTTGCGATGTTGGAATATCCATTGTTGGGTTTGCTACATAGAAATGTCTTTACATTTTATCATTCACAGAAGTCATAGTTACTGGGCATTTTAGCAGCTGATGGAGGTCGCTGTGATGTTGAAATATCCATTGTTGGATTTGCTACGTAGAAATGCCTTTATATTTGATCCTTCGACGAACTAATGCCTACCGGATACTTTAGCAGCTGATGGAGGTCGTTGCGATGTTGGAAT